CGCTGGGTGTGCAAGGCGATCTTCTCGCTGAACTTTCGGGGGTTGGAGGCCCCGGACCCGGAGCCCGTGGCGGGTCCTGGTCCGGGTCCTGGTCCGCCTGAACCCGTCGCAGACATCTTCTCGGAGCGGACCGGACGACCTGACGTAGTGGAACGATTTCAATCAGAGAGGGTCGGAAAAGGAAGAGGTCTCACTTTGAGGATTATTCCCAGGACAAGGACCCTCAGACTAAGATCAGTAGAGGTTCTTTTAGGTCCTTCCGAGCACAATTGATTAAACCGTGAAAATTTAGTAACACCTAGGTTTAAACTTTTTAAACTAAATCTAAAATATTCTCCATCGGTTATTACATTGTTAGGTATCTAATGCGATGATTTTCAGGCACACAGTGTTTTTTACTTTGTGGTTAAACTTTGGCAGATATGTGTGTCTGTAGATTAATGTATTGTTGTTTTTTCCAAGACTTGTACAGTTTATTTAATATTCTCAGCTGTGTTTAATAAATTTTTTTTGCAGCAAAAGTATATATATTTTTATTTTGGGTTATATCGAATATGTTTTGTTTCGGAATATCATCCAGAATTTTAATAGATCTGTTTTTGTGGATTTCATTTAGCAGTCGGAGTGAGGCATCACTGAAAGATTAGAAAAGTTGGATGGTTGAGAGTCGGCATCACGGCGCCCTCTGCTGGTACAAAGTACGTATTGCTGCTGCTTCTGTTTTCTGCTGAACTTCGTTCACCGAAATCCGAGAAGAAAATAGAAACTTTTTCTGGAGAAAATGGAACAGAGACTCCAGAAATCCAGAATCAAAAACAGAGACCTGTTCAACTTATCAACACTCTCATTTAAAATCAAGTCATTAAATCAATATGTCTCTGTTGCTACAACAGTCAATTAATCTGTTAGTGATGAATAACTGACAAACATGGAAGGTGAAGCATCCATGTTTTATCTGGAGAGAGAGGAACCCATGAGGAAGACTGAACCTCCAGGCGGGTCAGAACCGTTTTCTCCTCTCTGGCTGTTCGGTTTGTAAAAACTTCCGTCCGGGGCTCCACGGGGAAAGTGGACTCAGTCAGGGTTCGGGTTGGGACAGAAGGGCCGGTGTTATGGATTAACTGGGCGAAACCTTCGCGCACTGCAGATGTTTCTGAATTGTAGGTGGCTGCGTTGATGCCTGCTGAAAAATCCTAACTATGTGACAAAACCGTTTGCAAAACTTCACTATAAATCCAATTTTCACCAAATATGTTTTTTGTTACTTGTGAAAATGATGTTTGAAAACAAGTTTCTACAGAGCAGCGATCAGTTCGCTTCATTGGATCAGAACCAATGAGGAACAGGACCATCCCTTCCAGGTTCACCAGAATCAATTCATTTCCTGTCATGAACAGCAGAATGTGAGCCTGAGTGGAAGCTTTTCTAACCAGCACTGATCGATTATTGATCATTGATCATTGAATCGGCTCTCAGCTTCCTGTAATGGGAGATATTAACATTTCCAACCTGCTGAGAGTTTCTGGCTCTGCAACCAAAAATGTTTCTGAACTTCATCCTGTAGCGACTCGACCCACAGGAAGTGACTCGACCTGTCACAGGAAGTGACTCGACCTGTCACAGGAAGTGACTCGACCTGTCACAGGAAGTGACTCGACCTGTCACAGGAAGTGACTCGACCTGTCACAGGAAGTGACTCGACCTGTCACAGGAAGTGACTCGACCTGTCACAGGAAGTGACGCTGAACGATGAGGTCATCACATTGAATCAACTTTAAATCACTGATGTGTTGCTGTGTGTTACTAACAGAGTAACGTCCATCAGTTATCATGACATAAAGTTAATGCTGTAGTTGGTGGTGAATCAACATAAAGTTATAATAATAAACTGTCAGATTATGATCCATATCTACAGAATCTGTTCTCCACTGGGAACCAGTTTGGATTAAATTAAAAAACAACAAACTGCATTAACAGGGTCGTCAACGCTGATGTTTGTAAACATCAGCTGGCTGTGCCAATATGAAAATGTCTTCAAAACATAATTATACCTTGTCTATTGTTGGAAATGTTAGTTAATTATACTAGTTTGAATGATGATTAACTTTAGCGCATGTTGAAATGTTTAGATTAAAGATTCAATCAATATAACTATAATCTGATCAGCAGAACTTTTTTCTTAGACATAATTTGATTAAAATGAGTCGAATCAGTAGTTCTTATATGAAATCAGTCTTAATAAATGTGTGAGTCACGTATTAATCTGAAATGTTTTAGTTCATCACAACCAAAGACGTAGAAAACTAATCAGAAAATGTTGAGTGCAACATGTTTTGGTATTGAAGCTGTTCAAGTCTGATTTAGAAGACTTTATAATATTACATGAAATGATTTGCCAATGTTATTATCAAATCTGCTGTTTGCTGCACTGGGTCAAAGGTCAGAGGTCAGGAGAGCTCAATGCGGTTCAGGAACCAGTTTGGAAGAATAATAAACACAGATAGCTGATAAACTGGTCCCAGTTTGTCAGGTAAAATGTTTCCATGTTTCTGTCCAATAGCTCATCTATTTGTTGCACTCTTGATGATGAGTCAGTGTGATTTTCGCAGGTTCTTTTATTCGATGAACACTGTTGACAACAAGAGCCTGAACCAGCCGCCACTGCACGAAACTGTGCTGAGTCAGTGGTGCTCACTGTGCCAACTAGTGGCGAACTGCTGTAACTGCACTTTAGTATATCTTAGTTGAGTAGAAGTGCAGTCTGCAGTCCTTAAACACAGTGAAAAGGTGTGATTATTTCTCCAGTCCATTCTGTCACATATTGTTCCTTCCCGTGAAAACTGACAGCGATGAATTCATGCAAACAGCTGGCGGATGGCCACGACGCTGCAGAGAGCAGCTCTAGACGACGGTCACACAGTAAACACACGCCTAGATATAAAAGTAATAGAGCTGACACAGTTGGTCAGATCGCTGGGTGACGCACAGCGTCTTCATATTTTGCATTTGTTTATAAGATAATGAATGTTTTCCTGCTGATTTTGCATCTTTTTATCAGGTTGGGTTGTTGGTGGGATTTTGCTCTTCCATTTCTGTTTGAATAAATTCTGGTTGATTGTGAAGTTGAACAGTGATTGCTGCTTGGTTTCACGTTTACACACTGAATCAACGGATCTGGAGGCAACGAGTAACAGACTTTTAACAATATGAAGGAATATGAAGAATATATTTAAAGGAAACAGGGATATATTAAAAAATTAATTGCTCTCATTAATGGAAGCCACATTAAGACTGTGTGCAACTTTATAATCTGACAATATTCTGACGGTTAAAGTTTAGAAAGCTTTGAAAAGTGGATGTTGTACAATAAATCTATTCCATCTTTAGTTTTAGAAAATGAAAATTGGTCTTCTAACAGAGTTAAATGATGATTTATCTAATCCCAAGTTTCATTCTCAAATACTACTTTCTAAAAATCAACTCCACTTTAAAGTGAAATCATTTATTATTTACAATCTTTAATCCAATATGTTAATATCTTAATTTAAGATTTGAAATTTGTCTTTCATTTGTGACATTTTTCTTTCCTCATTTAGTTTGTGTTTATTTTCATTTCTTCTTTCCTGCTCAGTTTATTAAATCAAACTTTTTATCACTAATGTGCCTTGTCATAATATTTTCTTTAATTTTCCATAAAGTTGGAAAAAACTTGTAACTTTTTATCCTCTAGATCTGTAAATGTGGACTTTAATTCTTCACAAATAATTCAGTTTGGTTTATATATCAAAGAAAAAAATGTAGAAGTTTTAGTGAATGTTTTGATGATTATAACCAAATATTATATCCATAAATGCCGTTATGCAAAATGCTCCCTGTCAATCTCTGCTCTCAAAAAAACTTTCCTCCTTTAACAGATGTCTGAAAAAGACCTTAAAAGCAATAAATTGTGATTTAATGGAAGAATTTCAGTTCGCCCCTCTTCTCAATAACTTACCTTTATTTAGTTTTTTTGTTGTGTAATTTTGTATTTCTTGTTCTAGCCTTTATTTTCTGTTAGAGTTGTGATCTTATTTTTTTCTTGTAATGTTCATTATTGTTTGAGTTTGTCATTGTTATTGTGTTTCAATAAAAAAAATCATTGCCATAAATCCGCCTTTTAACTCAACGTCACATGCAGCAATGAATTGTGGGTAATGCAGTTTGCAGAAGTCCGTAAAAATGCAGAGTTTGCGTTAGGGCGGAAATAGAACCAAGATGGGAGGAAGTGGAGGACATGGGACACACTGTGACCTTTAACCCCCAGCCTGAAGCAGAAGTTCGGGCCTCAGGGTTCGGACGGAGCCAGAGAACTTCAAGCTGCAGTTTGTAACTTCAGTGTTTAATGATTATTAATATTTCACACATGAATTAAAAGGTGCTTTCTGTCCTGACGTAACAGAATCAGTCAGAAACATGGATTCAATGTTTCCTGTTTAACTTGACATCATTATGGGAGAGGTTCTGCAGCGGCCTAATCAAAGCCCAGAGCTGTTCACAGCTCATCCCACCAGCCTGAGCTGGTGGAGTTTAGCAGTGACGGTCGCCATGTTGGTCATGACTGAGTTATGAAAGTGATGAGCGGCTGAACAGACGCGTCATGGCGACATGTCGTCATTAATCACATGATGAACGATCATCATCCTGTCGGAACCAGCAGCGGCAGGTCTGGACCTGCAGCTGCAGCTCAGACTGGAGATGCGCGTCCAGGGCCTGGGCGCCCTGCTGGGCAGCACCGAACATTTACCGGGAGGTTCGGTTCGGCCGGAGCCGCCTGGGCCACCTTAACATCTCTGGCTCGGGCTTTTAAAAATTACATTTATGCCCTTATTTTGAAGAGCCCATTTACACGGCGGTTCCGTTTCCTGGAGAAAGATTAAGAAGAAACTTAGGAAGAGACAAACAGCTAGAGAATCAGATGGAAACATAAATACGATATTTAAGAACAAAACATGGCAACAATAAATGGTTCAAAAATTGTAGATTTAATTTGCCTTAAAATTAGCACCTTAGCATTAGCTTCTGCTAAATACTTTACTGTGCAGCATAGCAGTGTAGCATATCAGTGTAGCATAGCAGTGCAGCATAGCATAGCAGCGAAGCATAAAAGTGTAGCATAGCAGTGTAGCATAGCAGTGTAGCATAGCAGCGTAGCATAAAAGTATAGCATAGCAGTGTAGCATAGCAGTGTAGCATAGCAGTGCAGCATAGCATAGCAGCGAAGCATAAAAGTGTAGCATAGCAGTGTAGCATAGCAGTGTAGCATAGCAGTGCAGCATAGCATAGCAGCGAAGCATAAAAGTGTAGCATAGCAGTGTAGCATAGCAGTGCAGCATAGCATAGCAGCGAAGCATAAAAGTGTAGCATAGCAGTGTAGCATAGCAGTGTAGCATAGCAGTAGCATAAAAGTGTAGCATAGCAGTGTAGCATGGCAGTGCAGCATAGCATAGCAGCGAAGCATAAAAGTGTAGCATAGCAGTGCAGCATAGCAGCGAAGCATAAAAGTGTAGCATAGCAGTGCAGCATAGCAGTGTAGCATGGCAGTGCAGCATAGCAGTGTAGCATGGCAGTGCAGCATAGCAGTGTAGCATGGCAGTGCAGCATAGCAGTGTAGCATAGCAGCGTAGCATAAAAGTGAGCATAGCAGTGCAGCATAGCAGTGTAGCATGGCAGTGCAGCATAGCAACTGCTGCGGGTCGCGCCGCCGCGTTGCGACCAGTGAAGAGCAGATTTACGTTTTTGTCTTTTATCTTTTAGAGACAGAATCTGATTTATTCAAAGGCTTTTCAGCAGAAACATTTCAAACCGGAGCTGCTGATAAAGCGCTCCTACGTCAGACCCAGATGTCGGAGGTGCAGTCGCCCCCGGGTAGCGCAGCTCGTGGGCCAGCGCCGGCCCGTCGGGCTCCCGGCCGAAGTCCACCAGGAAGTCCGGGTTGAGGGACAGGCCGCCCCGCTCCGCGTCCACATCGATCCGCATCATCACCGAGCCCTCTCTGCAAAACACCAGGACACGCTCAGCTTCTGTGGCCCAACACGCGGCTCCGGTCCTCAGCAGGCGCCGGGCTCTTCCGGGTCGCGGGTCGGTACCTCATCATGTCCGGGTAGAACTGCTTGTCCCAACCGCTGAACAGAGACGTGGTGACGTAAAGTCTCCGACCGTCCAGACTGAGCTGCAGCATCTGGGGACTTCCAGGGACACGCTTCCCCTGAGGGGCGGACAGGTGAGACAGATTAGAGACAGGTGAGACAGACACACTCAGGTAGACTCAGGTATTATACCTTGATGATGCAAGGAGCCGGCTGCTCCTGCTTTTCTGGATCCTCCAGGACTTTGACTGGTCCGTCTCTGATGATGCTTCCTCCCAGGAACACCTGGAACAGACAGACAGGTGAGCCGTCTCACTCCGACGTCTCGCTGTAGCAAGAGACAGATGTGATGACATCAGACCTGTCCAACCAATCGAGGGTTCCTGCGGTCTGTGATGTCATACTGTCTGATGTCACCGTGGAGCCAGTTGCTGAAGTAGAGGAAGCGATCATCCAACGAGATCAGGATGTCAGTGATGAGGCCTGCAGACAGGTGAGACAGAGACAGGTGAGACAGGTAGGGCAGAGACATGTGAGACAGGTAGGACAGAGACAGGTGAGACAGAGACAGGTGAGACAGAGACAGGTGAGACAGGTAGGGCAGAGACAGGTAGGACAGAGACAGGTGAGACAGGTAGGACAGAGACAGGTGAGACAGAGACAGGTGAGACAGGTAGGGCAGAGACATGTGAGACAGGTAGGACAGAGACAGGTGAGACAGAGACAGGTGAGACAGGTAGGGCAGAGACAGGTAGGACAGAGACAGGTGAGACAGGTAGGACAGAGACAGGTGAGACAGAGACAGAGACAGGGGAGACAGGTAGGGCAGAGACAGGTAGGACAGAGACAGGTGAGACAGGTAGGACAGAGACAGGTGAGACAGAGACAGGGGAGACAGTAGGGCAGAGACATGTGAGACAGGTAGGACAGAGACAGGTGAGACAGAGACAGGTGAGACAGGTAGGGCAGAGACAGGTAGGACAGAGACAGGTGAGACAGGTAGGACAGAGACAGGTGAGACAGAGACAGGTGAGACAGGTAGGGCAGAGACAGGTAGGACAGAGACAGGTGAGACAGAGACAGGTGAGACAGGTAGGGCAGAGACAGGTAGGACAGAGACAGGTGAGACAGGTAGGACAGAGACAGGTGAGACAGAGACAGAGACAGGGGAGACAGGTAGGGCAGAGACAGGTAGGACAGAGACATGTGAGACAGTAGGACAGAGACAGGTGAGACAGAGACAGGTTAGAGACAGAGACAGGTGAGACAGGTAGGGCAGAGACAGGTAGGACAGAGACAGGTGAGACAGGTAGGGCAGAGACAGGTGAGACAGAGACAGGTAGGACAGAGACAGGTGAGACAGGTAGGGCAGAGACAGGTAGGACAGAGACAGGTGAGACAGGTAGGGCAGAGACAGGTTAGAGACAGAGACAGGTGAGACAGGTAGGGCAGAGACAGGTAGGACAGAGACAGGTGAGACAGAGACAGGTAGGACAGAGACAGGTGAGACAGGTAGGGCAGAGACAGGTGAGACAGAGACAGGTAGGACAGAGACAGGTGAGACAGGTAGGGCAGAGACAGGTAGGACAGAGACAGGTGAGACAGGTAGGGCAGAGACAGGTTAGAGACAGAGACAGGTGAGACAGGTAGGGCAGAGACAGGTAGGACAGAGACAGGTGAGACAGGTAGGGCAGAGACAGGTTAGAGACAGAGACAGGTGAGACAGGTAGGGCAGAGACAGGTAGGACAGAGACTGGTGAGACAGGTAGGACAGAGACAGGTGAGACAGAGACAGGTTAGAGACAGAGACAGGTGAGACAGGTAGGGCAGAGACAGGTAGGACAGAGACATGTGAGACAGGTAGGACAGAGACAGGTGAGACAGAGACAGGTTAGAGACAGAGACAGGTGAGACAGAGACAGGTAGGACAGAGACAGGTGAGACAGGTAGGGCAGAGACAGGTAGGACAGAGACTGGTGAGACAGGTAAGACAGAGACAGGTGAGACAGAGACAGGTTAGAGACAGAGACAGGTGAGACAGAGACAGGTTAGAGACAGAGACAGGTGAGACAGGTAGGGCAGAGACAGGTAGGACAGAGACTGGTGAGACAGGTAAGACAGAGACAGGTGAGACAGAGACAGGTTAGAGACAGAGACAGGTGAGACAGAGACAGGTTAGGGACAGGTGAGACAGAGACAGGTTAGAGACAGAGACAGGTGAGACAGGTAGGGCAGAGACTGGTGAGACAGGTAAGACAGAGACTGGTGAGACAGAGACAGGTTAGAGACAGAGACAGGTGAGACAGAGACAGGTTAGAGACAGAGACAGGTGAGACAGGTAGGGCAGAGACAGGTTAGAGACAGAGACAGGTGAGACAGGTAGGGCAGAGACAGGTGAGACAGGTAGGGCAGAGACAGGTGAGACAGAGACAGGTTAGAGACAGAGACAGGTGAGACAGAGACAGGTTAGGGACAGGTGAGAGACAGAGACAGGTAGGACAGAGACAGGTTAGAGACAGGTGAGACAGAGACAGGTTAGAGACAGAGACAGGTTAGAGACAGAGACAGGTGAGACAGAGACAGGTTAGAGACAGAGACAGGTTAGAGACAGGTGAGACAGAGACAGGTTAGAGACAGAGACAGGTGAGACAGAGACAGGTTAGTGACAGGTGAGACAGAGACAGGTTAGAGACAGAGACAGGTGGGATAGAGACAGGTTAGAGACAGAGACAGGTGAGACAGAGACAGGTTAGAGACAGAGACAGGTGGGATAGAGACAGGTTAGAGACAGAGACAGGTAGACCGTCGGCTCACTTGGCATCTCAGGTAGCATCCATCCCTCCACCTTCTTACTGGGAACACTGATGACCTTCTCTGCGGCCCAGTCGCCTTTCTGAGGAAACATCACAACTATCAGAACCTTTTGATGGTTCTGATGATGGACACCAGAACCAGATCTCCAGCTATCTCTGTTCTGGGCTCTCGGTGGTTCTGGTCCATTTCACTAGTAACATAAAAACCTTCCAACTTTATTCCAGTTTCAATCATAAATGGTTTTTAGGTGGAACCCCTCATGATGGCCGATGGACCCTCTGGTACCAGAACCTCCTGCGTTTGGACCAGAACCTCCTACAGAAGCCCGGCAGCCTCCATGACAGCGGTGGTTCTGACCGGGGTCTGTAGAACCTGAAGACACATCCCCGCAGGGCACATCCCACGTAGCCCTCGGTGGCGTCGGGGTCGTGCAGGAAGCGGACCTCCAAAGGAATGGCGCCATCTTCTCCCAGTTCCAGAGTCTGCAGCTTCCTGTGGGCTGGTCCAGTCCCAGACATGGAGGGCGGATCCGTAGAGACCTGGAACAGAACGCCGGACTGGTTTGAGTCGGTCCAGGGGTTCTGACCCACTGGGACCAGAACCGTTTACTTGATGGCACCAGAAACACGCAGGAAGCCGGGCCGTTGGGCCCAGATTGGATCTGTGAGGCGATGGCAGCACTTCCGCTAACACGCTAACAGCACAGCTAATGATTTTAGCATCTTAGCTAACCTAGCTCCCCTGACTTTTCCAATAAAGTTTAGTAAACTTTCAGTGAATAAATAAAGTTCAACATCTGTGTTTAAGTTTTTCTTATCAACTGAATATTTCCACTGGAAGTTAGACGTTATATTCATGCTCTTATTTTGAAGTCTGTTTACGCAGCAGTTCCATTTCCTCTCCACAGGTTCTTCACCCAGAATGCATTGCTGCAGCTCAAGTTTAAAATGTGCGGCTGTGTTGGGCCTGCTGCTTCCACTGAACGCATCGATAGTTAATGTCATGATTGTTGCTGTTATGATTTTTATTCTTTCTGTATTTATCATCTAAAATCATTAACAGAAAATGACTAGTTGTCGAGAGAACACAAGAAAATAATTATTCTTACAGTCTAAGTATAAAAAATGCAAATGAACATTCAACTTAAAATCAGTCGGGCTCAAACTTTGATGATCAGCTTTTTCTTAACCTAACTTTTATTTTCTGATTTAAATCTTGTTCAAAGTGTCCAGATTGTCCAAAGTGTCCAGTTCAAACTTTTAACTATTTGCAAAAAACTGGGCCCTAAAAAGCAAACATGATCGAACTGCAACTTCATCAATCGTCACTCTTCTCCACCTCCTGTCAGTTTCTGCTGCTGCAGCTCCGTGCTGCCTTCAGGAGAATGGGACATCACAGTACCATCCACATAATTTCACCCACGCGCCATTAATGTGCAAACCAGAACTTTCAGGGGAAAAATAAAAGTTCCAGATCCTTTTAATGCCAGAGAAATATTGAACAGAAACATGGATTATATCTTTAGATCTGTCTATTGATTTAAAGTTAATAAATCAATAGACAGGTCAGAGATTACAAAGAACAAAGCTGGTTCTTAATCCAGTGTTATGGAGTCACTGAACGGCATCATGACATTAACACTAACATAAAAAATAATACTGAAGAAATTATGAAATAAAATATAATTTAAAACATAAGTACTAAGTTTCCTACTGTTTTCTCAGTAAAATATATCTCTTGTTAGAACTGGTTGTGGTCCCAACAAACAAATGGCAAAATATTATTTTACCTTTTATGTGAAAATAGTGTCTGTCTGTTCGGTATTAATTATTGCTCGAAAGGTCTTGCCATACAAGTTTATTCCTCTATTTAGTTTAGTTTCTTAGTTTATTTTTGCATTTTGTTCATTGTTCATTTCCATTTAGTTGCCTTCTATTCATTTGATCCTTTCTTGGTTTATTGTCCTCTTTAGTTTTATTTTATTGTTTTTATTGACCTGCTGTTCTTCAGGTTACCAGTAGCTGTTGGTTTTACGTGCCTCCATTAAGATTCGGACTACCGATCTTCTGTTTGACTTATAATAAAGTCATTTATTATCAGAAAAATGTCTTTTGTCTTGCCATTTTTCATAGATCCATATAAATCCGACATCAATCAAAATCAAGGACAGTAGAAAACTGTTTGCCTCTGTGTTATTACGCCCCCTGGTGGCAATAAGATGAAGGTGCTCCAGCATCTTCCCTCCTCCTCCTGATCCTGATCTGCCCTCAGAGAATCAGGATTCTCTGATCTTGATTCAATCTGGTCCGTTGTTCTGCTCTATGTCCCGATTCTCCTGTTTCTGAGTTTTGCGGGGTTTTGTTTTTTCTGTGGAGGAGCGAATCGATGGGGAAAAGCAGACCGACGTAAACCTGTGCTGCTACCGGACGGCTTACCGCACCGACGCTAACTAAATGAACGCTCTGTATCGTGGAATCACCCACTCAGGGATTTCTTTATTAAACGGGTTCATTTTTCAGGGTTTGTGATTTTAGTAATCACGTTTATCAGAATCAAGCACCTTCATCTTATTGCCACCAGGGGGCGTAAAAACACAGAGGAAAACAGTTTTCTACTGTTCTAACAGAGCAACATTTCGTTGTCCTTCACCTGATGCAGTGAAGCCACCAGTAGCAGGAGGACGGAGCTGCGCCAAGAAGATAACAGAAGCTAATGGAAGCTAACAGAAGCTAATGGATACTAACACAAGCTAATGGAAGCTAACAGAAGCTAATGGAAGCTAACACAAGCTAATTGAAGCTAATGGAAGCTAACAGAAGCTAATGGACGCTAACACAACCTAATGGAAGCTAACAGAAGCTAAGACAAGCTAATAGAAGCTAACAGAAGCAAACAAAAGCTAATGGAAGGTAACAGAAGCTAATGGAAGATAACAGAAGCTAATGGAAGCTAACACAAGTTAAGGGAAGCTAATGGAAGCTAACAAAAGCTAATAGAAGCTAACAGAAGCTAATGAAAACTTACTGAAGCTAATGCAAGCTAACAGAAGCTAATGGATGCTAACAGAAGCAAACACAAGCTAATGGAAGCTAACAGAAACACTGACAAGAAGAACTGCCATTTATACAGTTACATTATGTTACACAGCTCTTTTTAGCAAGTAGCTCAAAGTGTGAACTGATATTGTTGTCATTTAAGGTGTAAAGTTTACCTTCAACCAAACGCTCCCAAAGGAATCGCAGCGCTCCCTATGCAAATATTTCTGCTGCCCTTTGTTGCCCCCCGGGGGCGGTACCACCCCGTTGAGAAACGCTATTTTAAGGAGATGTAGAAGTAGCTATTAGTGCTTTAACGTTATCCACCATATGTCAGCAGAAGCTAAGAGCTACTTTGCTGTTAGCTTCTGTTGAATAACTTCTTGATAAACTGCTTTGGGATAATGATGGCAAATGGCAGAAATGGCCTCCAGAAAAGACTGGAGGATCAGTCTTTTCTGGAGGTCAGAACCAGAACCAGAAGACCAGTTAAACCAGTCTGATACTGGGGCTCCACTGGACATTGTAGTTACTCACCAGGATGTCTGCCCTTCAACAAACTCTCTCTTCACCACCAACCTTACAAAACCTGGCTGTAAGGTTGGTGGAAATAAGCAGAGTCCTAACAACCACTGCCACTGGTGGCGCTATAGCTCCCTGGAAATATTTTAAAATTTTTTATTTGTACTTGTGGCATTTTCATTAAAATACACAAACCTTTAAAAAACATTGTTCAAAAAAATCCTGCACCACTTTTTGTATTTTGCTATTATCACTTCCGGGAAAAAATCGACGTGCGCCGGCGAGGAGCAACCCTCCCCCGATCACTGCAGGGCGTTTGGGTCGCAATGCGTCTCAAAGTACACGAGTTATCTAGATGAACCGACCTCACAGCAACCCGTTTACAGCAACCATTATCTATCCCGACAGCCAGAACATCTAAACCGGATTACAACTCAGTACATTTCCAAAACCAAAAAGGAGTCTGGCGTAACGCAAGATGTGGACGGCGGTCAACAGCTGACCTCATGTCCAACTGAGCGAAGGATGGGAACTGCCGTCAGTCAGCACCGACCTGATCAACATCAGGACACTTGTTGATGTCAAATCAAACTCATAAGATGTTAATTAGGCAAATAAACACAAGTAAAGAAAAGCAAAATGACGATATGATCCTTTGTGACGTCACTGTCTTCAAACTCCTGCTCCATCATGACGGAAATCAAAACAACCAAACCTGTATGGAGACAAACTGGCTTCAATATTATTCAATCGAAAACAAAATCATGTCAAACAAAAAAAATTTAATTGTGATCAAATGTTTTGGATTGTCAAAAAAAAAAAAAAAAACTTTAAAATCTTTTAAATTGTAAGAATAATTTTTTAACAAAAAAATGTTTTTAAAGCTTTTTCTTGAATTTAAATCACTCATATTTGTTGCAAATTTTTATTTACGAATGCCAGGAATTTTTTAATGCTCCCTTTTTCTTGGTTGAATGAGCAACTGTGGCTGTGTGCAGGGCCGGACTTAGGGGGATGTGGGTTGAGCCAAGCTGTGGGCCCCTCTTCATCATTGTTATACGGTTGCATATATATATATATATATATATATATATATATATATATATATATATATATATATATATATATATATATATATATATATATTATGTTACTGAAGCTAATGCTTCCCTTCTCACCCACCGCGGGTGGTTCTTATCCTCTGAGCTCGGGTCCTCTACCAGAGGTTATATAGATCTATATCTATATATATAGATCTATATATCCTCTACCAGAGGCCTGGGAGCTTGAGGGTCCTGCAGTATCTTGTGCCAAGGACTGCACATTTCTGGACTGAGATGTCTGATGTTGTTCCTGGGATCTGTTGTAGCCACTGATCCAGTTTGGGGGTTACTGCCCCGAGGGCCCCGATGACCACAGGCACCACTGTGGTCTTCACCTTCCAGGCCCTCTCCAGTTCCTCCCTGAGGCCCTGGTATTTCTCCAGTTTCTCCTTTTTCCTGATGTTGCAATCACTTGGTATTGCTACATCTACCACAACGGCTTTCCTCTGATGTTTATCCACTACGACAATGTCTGGTTGGTTCGCCATTACCATTCTGTCTGTCTGGATCTGGAAGTCCCACAGGATCTTAGCTCTGGCGTTCTCCACCACCTTTGGGGGTGTTTCCCACTTTGATCTCGGGGTTTCCAGTCCATATTCTGCACAGATGTTTCTGTACACTATGCCTGCCACTTGGTTATGTCGTTCCATGTATGCTTTCCCTGCCAGTATCTTGCACCTGCTGTGATGTGCTGGACTGTCTCAGGGGCCTCCTTGCACAACCTACACCTTGGGTCTTGTCTGGTGTGGTAGATCTGGGCCTCTATTGCTCTGGGTTTAGGGCCTGTTCCTGGGCTGCCAGGATGAGGGCCTCTGTGCTGTCCTTGAGTCCAGCTTTTATATATATATATATATATATATATATATATATATATATATATATATATACAGAAACATCTGTGCAGAATATGGACTGGAAACCCCGAGATCAAAGTGGGAAACACCCCCAAAGGTGGTGGAGAACGCCAGAGCTAAGATCCTGTGGGACTTCCAGATCCAGACAGACAGAATGGTAATGGCGAACCAACCAGACATTGTCGTAGTGGATAAACATCAGAGGAAAGCCGTTGTGGTAGATGTAGCAATACCAAGTGATTGCAACATCAGGAAAAAGGAGAAACTGGAGAAATACCAGGGCCTCAGGGAGGAACTGGAGAGGGCCTGGAAGGTGAAGACCACAGTGGTGCCTGTGGTCATCGGGGCCCTCGGGGCAGTAACCCCCAACTGGATCAGTGGCTACAACAGATCCCAGGAACAACATCAGACATCTCAGTCCAGAAATGTGCAGCAGTCCTTGGCACAAGATACTGCAGGACCCTCAAGCTCCCAGGCCTCTGGTAGAGGATATATAGATCTATATATAGATCTATATATAGATCTATATCTATATAACCTCTGGTAGAGGACCCGAGCTCAGAGGATAAGAACCACCCGCGGTGGGTGAGAAGGAAATTTTATATATATATATATATATAAAAAATTAAAAATTGTGCTAAAAATAATAATGAATAAGTATGGAGCAGCTAAAGTAGCACAGCTAACATAGACATCAGCTCCCACGAATAGAAAAATATGAGGAGGACATCGTGTCAAACTACCAGAAATATAAAACGTGATCTGGAATCATTTAAAAGTTCTTTGTCTCATTTTAATGGAGACCAAAGTGTGCTGGTTTCATGTCTGAGGGCAGACCACCAGGACGCTCATTTTGTTTAACTGCCTGTTTTCTGCCACCTAGTGGTCGTTTTTTTTAAACCATGATGCACAATATATCTATTAACATTTTTTGCATTATAAAGAAGTGGAGAGATATTCCGTTATCCAACAAATTAACATCTTTGTCACTTCGGCACAAGCACAGTCCAAAGGATGAGGACACCAACTCAGAGCAGAAATCAGATGACCAGCTTTCCACCAGCATTTAAACGCACCACGGCTCATGAATATCAGGCTGTCTGGAGTGTGAAATGAGTCAAAAGTCCTCGTCCACTAACCGGTTCTGTCTGAGCTCATCAGGCGACTCCTGATGACCTCTGCAGACCCAGGAGAAGGTCTGGATTCACAATTATCACATTTGTAAGGTTGTAGTTGAAAAGTCTATGTGTAGAAATTTAGCGTTTGTAGAAATTGTAATTACGTATGTGTACTTTTATTTTATGTTCATAATGTCTTCATATTTGTGACCTCATATTTACAAGATCCCAGTTATGCACACATTTTCATTTCACGGTTTACTCATCATGTCTCACAACCGTCCAAAGTTAAGCACAGGAATGTGAATGGATTACAAATCCAGTCAGACACACACTGGTATTCTGAGACTATTGCCACTGATCAGAGGCCAAAAACAGAGTCAGTCAAAACGACAGCTGCAGATACAGGTGGACAGAAAAGCTCCAGGAAGCTGAAGCTGCTGTCATCATAGCGACTGGATCCCTCTGAAGGCTCCCTGCGGTGATGAATGATGCTCTGCTCTCAGATCTACAGCTATTATTATCTTTAATGAATTAAAACTATTCAATAAAAGATACAATAAATGAATACAATTGAAATAAATGGGTTAATTATTTATGGAGTGAAAACAATGTCTGTGTGTGTGTAATACTGGATGTGTAACTTGTGTAAGCATCTTTGTGTGTAACTTTGGATACACACATACTTGTGACATCACTAGCGATGCCAGAGTGTCTTAAAGAGACACCATTACGGCTGTTACCAGACCACTGACCTTCCTTGACGTGGGCTGGGTTGAAGCCGTGGACCAGCGCTTTGGGCCCCCCACTCGGTGCTGATCATCACATTGTGGCGGGGTTGGTACCAGAAGTCGTAGCCGAATGGCGCCGCCTCACCTGGATGCTCCCAGTTACCGATCACCTCAAACGTCTCACCGTCCAGCAGGACAAAGCCCCCTGCAACAGCAGCAGTTACCACCACCGTCCAGCAGAGGGCAGCAGCTTGTGATCCTCTCTGTGGGTTCAAGCCTCACCTTTACCGCCACCTGCTGGCTCTCCCATGCAGCTGATCATGATCTGGCCGCTGGCCAGGCAGTGGCTGGTGTGAGGGTTGGCCAGGCCGCACTTCCAGTACAGATCGATGGGCTCCACCGTCTGGAACCCGCAAAGAAGCAAATACTTAGTTAGCGAGCTAAATACTTAGCTTAAACTAAATCTCAATTAGAAATTTCAATAGTTTATGAGGAAGATAGCTAAATAACTAGTTACAAACTGAGTTTCTACATAAGCTGACTGGCTACATATTTAGCTTACAAACAACATTTAACTTGCTAACTAAAGGTTTAGTTCAAGTTCAATATTAAAGTTGAGTGAATAACATTCATTTAAAAACCAACTTTTTCCCTCATTCCAGGCTAATTAAACCAAATTATTACTGTTCATCTTTGACTGTAAGTTCAGAAAAAGCATAAATAACCATGTGGGGACAGGAAGGATTCGTATCTTTGGACCGGATCCCAAACAGAACCGCTTTGCTGTTTTCACTGTCTGCCTCTTACAGCCACTGTAATGCCACGGCGACACCAGCAGGGGCAGTAGAGTCACCTCTACGTCCATGAAACCTAGAATATCAGTCTGGGCTCAGAACCGTCTGGGTTCAGAACCGTTCAGAACCGTCTGGGCTCAGAACCGTTCAGAACCGTCTGGGCTCAGAACCGTCTGGGCTCAGAACCGTCTGGGTTCAGAACCGTTCAGAACCGTCTGGGCTCAGAACCGTCTGGGTTCAGAACCGTTCAAAACCGTCTGGGCTCAGAACCGTCTGGGCTCAGAACCGTTCAAAACCGTCTGGGCTCAGAACCGTCTGGGTTCAGAACCGTCTGGGCTCAGGACCGTTCAGAACCGTCTGGGTCTGAACCGTCTGTGTTCAGAACCGTCTGGGTTCAGAACCGTCTGGGCTCAGAACCGTCTGTGTTCAGAACCGTTCAGAACCGTCTGGGCTCAAAACCGTCTGGGCTCAGAACCGTCTGGGTTCAGAACCGTTCAGAACCGTCGGGCTCAAAACCGTCTGGGCTCAGAACCGTCTGGGTTCAGAACCGTCTGGGTTCAGAACCGTCTGGGTTCAGAACCGTCTGGGCTCAGAACCATTCAGAACCGTCTGGGTTCAGAACCGTCTGGGCTCAGAACTGTCTGGGCTCAGAACCGTTCAGAACCGTCTGGGTTCAGAACCGTCTGGGCTCAGAACCGTCTGGGCTCTGAACCGTCTGGGCTCAAAAAGTTCAACCGTCTGGGTTCAGAACCGTCTGGGCTCAGAACCGTCTGGGCTCAGAACCGTTCAGAACCGTCTGGGCTCAGAACCGTCTGGGTTCAGAAAACGTCTGGGCTCAGAACCGTCTGGGCTCAGAACCGTCTGGGCTCTGAACCGTCTGGGTTCAGAACCGTCTGGGCTCAGAACCGTCTGGGCTCTGAACCGTCTGGGCTCAGAACCGTTCAGAACCGTCTGGGCTCAGAACCGTCTGGGCTCAGAACCGTCTGGGTTCAGAACCGTCGGGCTCAGAACCGTTCAGAACCGTCTGTGTTCAGAACCGTCTGTGTTCAGAACCGTCTGGGCTCAGAACCGTTCAGAACCGTCTGGGCTCAGAACCATCTGGGTTCAGAACCGTTCAGAACCGTCTGGGCTCAGAACCGTTCAAAACCGTCTGGGTTCAGAAACCTACGTGAAGCTGACACCCACCTACGTCATAAAATCCAGCAGATAGTCTGATTGGTTAGTGCTCCGTTAGTGCAGGTTTGTGCCGTTAAAATTTTCGTTTGTGCAGTTTTGGTTTCCGAGATATTAAAAATTATTTTTTAGGTCATCAGAGTTCACCATCCCCATATAGCTCCAAAACAAACCAAAGTGGGCTGGTTCGTTAGTGCTCGTTAGTGCAGGTTTGTGCCGTTAAAATTGTCGTTTGTGCAGCTTTCGTTGTTGAGATATTAAAAGTTATAATTTTGGCCGATTACGTAACCATCCCCCCATACAGCTCCAAAACAAACCAAAGTGGGCTACTTTTTTAGTGCTCGGTTAGTGCAGGTTTGTGCCGTTAAAATTTTCGTTTGTGCAGCTTTCGTTGTTGAGATATTAAAATTTATAATTTTGGCCGATTACGTAACCATCCCCCCATTACGCACCAAAACAAACCAAAGTGGGCTACTTTTTTAGTGCTCGGTTAGTGCAGGTTTGTGCCGTTAAAATTGTCGTTTGTGCAGCTTTCGTTGTTGAGATATTAAAAGTTATAATTTGGCCGATTACGTAACCATCCCCCCATACAGCTCCAAAACAAACCAAAGTGGGCTACTTTTTTAGTGCTCGGTTAGTGCAGGTTTGTGCCGTTAAAATTTTCGTTTGTGCAGCTTTCGTTGTTGAGATATTAAAAGTTATAATTTTGGCCGATTACGTAACCATCCCCCATTACGCACCAAAACAAACCAAAGTGGGCTACTTTTAGTGCTCGGTTAGTGCAGGTTTGTGCCGTTAAAATTGTCGTTTGTGCAGCTTTCATTGTTGAGATATTAAAAGTTTTTTTAGGTCATCAGAGTTCACCATCCCCCATATAGCTCCAAAACAAACCAAAGTGGGCTGGTTCGTTAGTGCTCGGTTAGTGCAGGTTTGTGCCGTTAAAATTGTCGTTTGTGCAGCTTTCGTTGTTGAGATATTAAAAGTTATAATATGGCCGATGACGTCACCACCACCCCCATACAGCCCAAAACAAACCAAAGTGGGCTACTTTTTTAGTGCTCGGTTAGTGCAGGTTTGTGCCGTTAAAATTTTCGTTTGTGCAGCTTTCGTTGTTGAGATATTAAAATTTATAATTTTGGCCGATTACGTAACCATTCCCCCATTACGCACCAAAAAAACCAAAGTGGGCTACTTTTTTAGTGCTTGGTTAGTGCAGGTTTGTGCCGTTAAAATTTTCGCTTGTGCAGCTTTCGTTGTTGAGATATTAAAAGTTATCATATTTTCAGATTATGTCACCTTCCCCACCCCCTTTCTTGCTCCAAAAAAAAAAAAAAAAAAAAAAAGAAATAGGCTAGTTTGTTATGCAAATGAGAATTTGAGATGACCCCATTATTGTTATTCTTACTATTTTCTAAATATACCAACAAATCTTACTTTACTTCATTTGGTGCTTCCAGATTGTAAGATTCACTGAGCACATTCACCTAATTAGGGGACAATTAATTTCACCTGCTGCATGCTGTACTCCCTGTTTCATTTCTTCGCCAGTTGTCTTTCAGCAAATTCCTGTCTGTGGGTAAGTTTTGTTTTCGTGTCATTTTTATGCAATTGAGGTTATTAATTATTATAGAAAAGGTACTGTTTGCAAGAACTCATGGCATAATTAATACAGTTAGAAGAAAAATATCTCTGGTAATTTATTATTTTTTTGTGATGCATGAACTTGCATACATGTGTGTTATGGTTAGCTATTCACCCACCCAAATATCTTCATTGTGAGGCAATTGAGAAGTAATGAACCATGAAAGTGGCTGGTTTTAAAATGCAATATAAGTTGACAGTCAAATAAGAAACGGTGTTGATTTGAACAATGAACTTTAACAATTGAAACAACAACAAACATTGACAATTGGAAATTAATTTCTCCTCTTTGAATACAAAACTCTGTTTTGAGATTTATGCAGAAAGAAATATGAAAACATTACCCAACTGAAACTCAAATATCAAATCCTTTTCCACATAAGAACTTGCAAAAAGGAAAAAAAAGTCTGATCAGGGGTATGTAAACATGGTATGTTGCTCTCTTCAAACTTTCTCCCCAACTTTTTCTATCACAGATCTGCTGTGTATAGCACTGCATGTGGAAGTATTTTGTTTGTTTCAGACACTGTCTTCATGATATTGGCAAGGTCATCATAAAGCTCCCACACAGATGGAGCTCTCCGGCAGTATGCAGTGTAATGTCCAAGGCCATCTTTGGTCAAGCTTCCCTGAAAGCAACGATTCCTCTCAAAGTTAGTGTTTTTTCTTGGAGAACCATAGTGGAGGGAAATTCACTTAACGCAAATTCTGTTGGGTTTGAAAGGTCAGTGTCAACCCATAGTATTCCTCCAAAGCTGTAGGTGTGAGTAACAGTTCCTGCACAGAGAACATTTCCTGAGTTCCTGGCTACTGTTTTGAATTCAGATGGGCATTCTGATTCATTCTCCAGTGGTCGGAGACAGGGAGACTGTGGAAGGAGGAGTCCTTTTTCTACTGAAGTGCCAAGCTGAGTCATGCCAGAATTCTTCAGGACAGAAATGTCAGGTAAAAGAAATGGTACTTCCCTCGTCATTTCTTTGTTTAGGTGGCAGTATTGAAGAGCAGTGTTTTGAGAGGTAAACGCTTGATACATTTCTCATTGTCTTCCCAATAATAGTGGAAATATTGCACTGTGCATCAATTTGGTGGGCGCCAGACCTCAACTGTGTTTTTGCAAACATTGAACTAAGCAGATCTGCCCTCTGCAAGTATGTCTTCGGGGTCACACCATCTGTAGCTATGGATTTCACCAGCTGCAAGAGTGGGTCATCACTGTCATTCATGACAATATTTTGAAATGCAGAGCTGTCACAGAAAGTACAGCATAAGCACTGACAAAAGGCATCAAAGGAGCAGGTGTTTAACACAGAGAGTGACAATGTCCCAACTTTAACAGGCTGATGCATGTTTCCATTTTTCAATAGTCCCACTTTCACTCTTTTGGCCCCAGATGATGAATCTGCATGGAGCCATTCAGTGCAGGAACTCGGGTATGAAGACCTATTCCTCTTTTTGGGTGGAAGAATTTGTCCTCTCCAGTTTTCAACCGCGTTTTCATCTGCAGTGGAAAGGTTTCTGGTGGCTTCCGATTCCATCACATCGCTCAAATTCATGTTTCTGCTACCTTCTGCATTGTGGGTAATTATGGATGCAGGGTCAGCTTCTGTAACTTCTGCTGATGCAACTTGTCCCTCCTCCTGTTGTGCTTTTGCAGAGCAAATCCGCATATTTCCTTCGATGAAGGAAAGATGCCTAGAAATGAAGCGGTCGACTCGAATGGGTAAGTTATCATGTTTGAAGAGGCCATGTTTTACATTTTTGAATTCTGCTTCAACATTGGCTGAGCTTGCTGTGA